ATGTAGTATCAAAATGAGGTGACTCACCCTTTTCTTCAAGAGTCCACACACCCTTGGGACCCCTGAAAGAAAATAAAGATTAGAAATACGTGGAGTGAGCATAAATGGGACTGGACAGGTTGTAATATAGTGGACTAGAGGCTTTACATCAGGTGTGTGTAACAATAAACCCATGGGAAAGGTTTCTGTAGAGAAGCTCCATAGAATATCTGTATGAAATTGACATTATTGTTAGTCCAAGACCAATAAAACCACTGCAAATATATATAAAGTAAGAAAAAAATCAGAGCGATCATTTTAAACAACAAAAATAAATCCTCACAGTCTAATGTGAGAGGAAAACTTTTGTTGACTATGTGGATGATGTTCAATGTGAAATTGTTCCATTTCTGCTCCTGTGATTATCTGTCAGTTGTGGATGTCTGAATGGTTGGATGAACACAGTGGTATACTCGCTGCTGGAGCTGTCTAACACCGTGACAGTTGCCAAGTTACTCTGAGGGCATGCAACTTATCATTAAGCATCAGACGATAGAGCGCATCCTACAAATCCAAAAATACAACCACATGTCTCATCTTTTGCTCTCAGCTTGGACTTTAAAAACCCCGTCTTTCAGCCGACCGGCTCAAAGCCTCATCGGCAGTGAGGGAGTGATGCGTGCATCGCATACAACACCCTAATCACCCCGTGAACGATGCTGCGCGACATTAGTCTGTGAAGCTGTTACATTTACGTATTAAGGTGTCAGTAACAGTAACTTAATGAGCTGAATTTCTTCTGATCTGGAGTACGTGTGTTTATGTGTGTCTGAGCAGCAGAGGGAACACAGTTTGCATTTGTGAGCTTTATGTGTATGTTTTAATCTTGGCTCTAATGATAAACCCTCCAAGGTCAACTCCACCTGGCTGACAGGCGAAGCAATGAAATATTAATTTGCCTTCACATCCGAGTATTTATGCGTTTGTGTGAATTCACATAGTACAACTGAATGTCTACAATGAAGACCTCTATCCGCTCCACATCTCTGCATTCGGGAGGCAAACATTTGCCACAGTACCAAAGACAATCTAAGTAGACAATAGAAGTATTTTCCATTATATTTTCAGTGTGTGTTACACAGTGCTAGACCTTATGTGAAGTAAGCAAGCACCACCCTCCTCTGCTCAAATCACAGTACTACAAGAGAAACAGGAGAATAAGCCGAGAGGTGCTTGTTACATCTCCCAAAATACCAAAAAGATATCAGAAATGCTCAGCTCACAGTAAATAGATTGATTCTTATATAGCGCTTTCTATTCTCCCAACATGCCTCATTTACACAAGCACTTTTTTTCCCCCTATGCTTAAGCGCTTACTTACATTGGAGACCAATTTGGGGTTAGGATCTTGCTAAAGAATATTTGGCATGCAGACTGGAGCGGCCAGGGATCGAACCACCAACCTACTAATTGGTAGATGACCTTCTCTATCTCCTGACCTCTCCGACTTTCAAGAACAAGGTTCAAAGACAATCAAATATTGTCGTAGTCCTGACTTAATTGGACTCAACACAGGAAACCTCACCCGGCCCAGACATAGAAGGGATTGACAGCTTGATAGCTATTTCTGGATCCTGTGGGTGGTGGTGCATGGCTGTTCTTAGTTGGTGGAGCTCATTGACTGCACAACACAGCTTTTCTGCACACAGTAACAATTTCTGTAGCTATGATATTTGATGATGCTAATATGTGCTAATCATAAGAGAACAATTAAACAAATTAAAAACAAACAAACAATCAGAATCATTCATTTGTGCTGCCTATTAAATTTCATGACTTCACTCTTTAAGGTCAATTAAAGTATAAAATTTCCATCTGAAAAATATTCAGTGACAAAACCGTGAAGCAACACTGGCCAACTTCGGGCTCAAAGGATAAAACACACTTGGAAGATTTTATCATTAAGCAACAGTGAGGTTTTACTGCCAGTTTTAATCACTGCTGATCAAAACTCTAAATTAACAGCATTATAATAATCGGAATGAATCGGTAACACTGACTTTTTTTAAACTGATAAAATTTCTTAACTGCAACTCAGATTTCATAAAATCAAAACAATCAGATGCTACATATATTTTAATTAACAACTAGGCGGCATCTTCTGTGGATACTGCATCTATCACAATGGCATAGTTTCACAGTAGAAGAGTCTTGGTGGAAAAACATCTGAAAAACATCTGGTGCATCATTAAAATCAAAGCATGTGACTGCAAATTTTTTGATTTGCTCTGCTGCCATTAAATTTAAAATTAGCTAATATTTTACGCGAAGTAGTAAAATGTCTGAATTTAAACACTTTAACTGTTTCCTGTTCTGTTGTGAAAAAAATGTGAGTTTATGAGATTTGCAAATAATTAGACTGTGTTTTTAATTCACATTTTACTCAGTGTCCCAACTGTATCATCTGCCAAGGTGATGATGGTGATGATTTTGACCTGCTGTAAGAAAAGAACTTCCCAAATCTGAGATAAATTAAGTATGTCTTGTGTTTTCTTTTCTTAAGATTTGGGCTCCAGAAAACAAACATAATATTTGTTTTTGTTGGAACTGTATTTCCTTCTTTGCACTTCTAAAAGAAAATGTAACTTGGCCTAGAGGTGCACAATCTATGCAAAAAACTGCACGTCAACATAAAAAACAAAAACAAAAAAACACTTTTGTTCTTGTCTCACCTGAAGTCGGGGATACCTGCCGAGGTGCTGATCCCAGCTCCCGAGTGGACAACCAAGTACTGAGATTCTTTAATCAGCTGAGCTAGAGTCTCCACCTTGGCCTTCAGCTCCTCAGGATTATCAAAGTGCTGCAGCAGAAGAGAAAAACGCGACTTCAAGAGCTGACCGAGAGCCACATTCAAATCAAATTACAATGAATAAGTCTGTTTGACAAAAGGTACAAGCACACAGCTGTAACACAGTTTATTACAGCTCAGCACTGATTTAAAAGAAACACTGACAGTTTTGAAGTACTGGTATTTGTGACTCCTCTAACCCCCTCCCCTTGTAGCTTTCAGATCTATACGTGTGTGCTGAAGATAGTATCAGTATACGATCTGTGCACTTCCTAATAAAATACGTATAACTAATGTGATATTACTCGTGGATTATTATCCGATGCTTGGAGACAAACAGAAGCTCTTCGTGTTACTTTCGGATGTTGCCGTTTTTAAAGACCAAGCTCTCCAAACGTACTATGCGACAAACGTCCGCGGCTAACCTGCTAGCTACCTGCTCTTAAAGCTTCAATTACCTCAGGAAGTCCGCAGACACCTTTGTTTGCGTACGGCGTGAGTCCAGCTGCATAATTCACAGACATGGTTGCAGACGGTAGTGTACTTTTGTTTTTTTTCTTTAATAAAATTAGTCGTGTTTTGTCCGGGCGGCGAAAATTTACCAAGCGATAGTTACGATGACAACATCAAAAAGCGACTGGGTGATGCTGCATTCAAGGACTTTGGGAAATTAAGACTTCACCTCTGTGTTCAGAAGACGTTCCACATTGAACCTCCAAGTTGTTACATATATACCAACGGATGCTAAAGGTCTCTTAATAAATTAAAGTTAATAAACGAAATGATGGATATCTTAAGAAATAAACAAATTTTTTGTAATAAATTATCTTGAGTTAACATTATTATTTGAAAATCATTTTAATAGCACTACATTGTGAATGAAGACTGTTTTATAGATACAATTCCCCGTCACTTTATTAGGCGCGCCACAGAGCTCCTTAATGGAAAGATCTAAGCAGCCAATTTATATGGCAGTAGCTCAGTCCATTTATTTGTGCAGACATGGTCAAGACAACCTCCTGAAGTTCAAACTGAGGATCAGAATGAGAAAGAAAAGTGATTTAGGGACTCTGAACGTAACAGTTGTTGGTTCTAGATGAGCTGGTCCTGGGATTTTACCCCACAACCATCTCTACAGTTTATAGAGTATAGTCAGAAAAAGAGAAAATATCAAGTGAGGCAACAGTAACTAACTTAAAAAAAAAAAAAATAAAAATAAAAAAGCAATGTGAATGCAGAAAATGTGAAGATTTTGCCTAAAAATATTTGAAATATTCAAAGCAGTTTCTGATTGGTGTCAGCTTGTGTGCCTGCTTGTTTCTATACCACTCAGTCTGCTTATATCACTGTGTTTTACAGTCATGTCTAAATCTGCTGAGTTTGATTCCCACCAATCAGGCGAATAGATGAAAGTTACAAAAAAGAAAAGCATAAGCATACGTCTCCAGAAAAAGTTTTGGTACTATAACCGTTTCTGTAGCACAAAGTACGCAGAAGTGCACAAAATAAGAATAACATAATAAACTAGAAATAAATAAAAATATATCTTCACATTGAGAGCTGCTGCACACAGCTTGTGAAGCAAACGGTGCAGTTTATTGTGAAATCAGTGGATAATAATGGAAATAACATGACAGTCAGACCCACATGCTCCAACATGAAACCTGTAAATGGTAAATGGCCTGTATTTGTATAGCGCTTTACTAGTCCCTAAGGACCCCAAAGTGCTTTACACGTTCAGTAATCCACCCATTCACACACATTCACACACTGGTGATGTCCAGCTACATTGTAGCCACAGCCACCCTGGGGCACACTGACAGAGGAGAGGTTGCCGGACACTGGCGCCACTGGGCCCTCTGACCACCACCAAGAGTCTTGCCCAAGGACACAACAACCGAGACTGTCCAAGCCGGGGCTCGAACCAGCAACCTTCTGATTACAAGGTGAACTCCCAACTCTTGAGCCACAATCGCCCCAATTATGTATTAAGGAATCAAGAAGAAAAAGCAGCCTTTACCTTATAGTAACCTTTTTTACAAATAGCTATGCAGCTTTGCTAATAATAAAACCAAAATATCAAAAATTCTTAAAATACAAAAAGTAACCCGCTTAAATGCAGGCATACAAATCAAGTGAAACAGAAAAGCTCTGTGGGTCTTTTTTTCTTCCAAATAAATCTTTATTTTTTCAGTTTTTAAATAGCTGAAAAAAAAAAATACACAGGTGAATAAAACAACATAGTAATCATTCATACAGCTATATGTGCATATCTGTCACGGTTCCTGTTAAAGATGCAAACCAACACTGAAGACCACCGAAAGAGGAAAATAGTTACTTTTTCTCAATTGTTGTGTCACATGTAATTCATTATCCTGAGAAATTCAGTATGACTTCCCAATTTAATTAAAACAATCAATATTGCTGAAGAAAAGGTTCACACAGAGCACACCCACACACACACACACAGAAGAAAAAGAAAAAAGTCCAATCTCAACTAAGACAGAATAGCAATGGAAGAATAAAACATGATGGTCTTGTTCACTTCCGAGGACTGGCAGGAGAAAAAAAAGAAAAGAAAAGAAAAGAAAAGAAAAGAAAGAACCTTGTTGAGAAGTGTGGGATCATAGATTATGAGACAATACCTACAATTGTTTCTGTCAATCAAACCTAATAATCTCGTCATCACATAACTCATTCTCAAGCAAAAAACAAAAAAACAAAACACAGGCATAACATCTATCTGAAGAAAACAGTAAAATGAAAACAAGCTTGCAAGAGAGAACACAAAGAGCAAACAGAATGCGACAAACAGTTACCAAATGTTTTGGGCTTTCTTTAAAACACACTTCTTTTGGTCTTTGGGTCAAGTGGGGCCCATCAGCGAGTGACCTCCCCCGAGGAGAAATGCAATTCTGATCAATAATTAGTTCCGCCCCAACAACTCCCTGGTGATCATCCTACACAACTCTTAATCTGAACTACTTCAAATAACACAACCCTACACTTAAAATGACAGGAGAAATACATCCAACAGTAACCAGAAGAAAACACGGCAAAGATCAACTTCATGTTAGGAAAAAAAACAGAAAAAAAAAAAAGTTCACGTGAGGATTTGACCTTCCGATTGAGCCAGCCGGTCCTCCGGGCAGAGAGTCCTTGTTGTTGAAGTCTTTGTCATCACACGGATCATGACGTAGATAAACGGTCCACCAGTAAAAGAGACAAAAAGCTTTGAAAAGAAGTTCCGGCATGCACAGGAACTTTGAAAACATCGTCATGTGACAATTAAGGTCTTGTCCTATCAAAGCGGATCAGACTGTGACACTTGGAGAGGGGAGAAAAAAGACAAACAAACCCAAAAACAAAACAAAAAACTGAATATTTGCAGCACAGCAAACGTGCTGTTTGAAGTCCTCAATCTTCTGTTCATCACTGTGACCAACTAGCAGTGAGCAATAGCCAGTTACAATTAGGGAAAGAAAGATATGCAAAAGACAGGCTGAGAAATGTTTGGAAGTGTTTGCACCAGTGCAAATGTTGCTATTGTTGACAGTTGGGTTTTTTGTTTGTTTTTTTAACCCCACAACACCTTACACTATACATGGGACTGAGAAACTCGGCAGGGTATGTGAGAGTTATGTTTTTTTGTTTTTTTATTTTCTTTAAAGTAAGGATTTAGGTGATGATAAAAACTGAAGAAACTGGTGACTTTTGTGCTGGTGCAAATCTTACCAGGTCAGAGCCTTCCTCAGCAAGGCATCAATTTCAACCTCCAAGACGCATTCAGAGGCGAGAGGAAAAAAGCTCTGTGTTGGTTTAGAGGAGGGAAGCTTCCAATCTTTCTTGGTTGTAAACCTAGAATATCTGGCAACCCGGGCAGAGAGAGGAAGGGTAGCACATGTCAGCTAAGATCGGGGTGCCGGAAAAAAGCGTGTCAGGACTCCTCATTGCCTGAGTCGTCTTCGTCATAGCAACAGTCGCCATCCTCGCCTTCCACGTCGTCTTCGTCGTAGCAATAGTCATAGAAGAGGTCGGAGCCTTCGTCGGGGGCTGGGGCGCGTGTGCGGACGCAGTACTCCGCCAGCGTAGTGGGCACTTTCACGCCATCGCGCTCAGCTTCAGCCTTGGTAGCCAACACTTGTTTTCTGAGGGGAGATCCGAGTGGCGTCATTACAAACAGTTGGAGATTTACTATCATTTTCTGTCTTTCCATAAAAGATCAAAGAAATCTGAAGAAAAGTTCCCACCTTATCCGCCAACAGTCAGCTGATCTTTTGCTACATGAATGAAGCTGTGCAAAATTTTACCTTTATGCTATCAATATTTTACAAGTACAGAGTCCACACACCCACAACAGTCATCTGGTTAGGTCGCCTCCGAGGTACTTCCCTCTGGAGGTTTTTTTTGGAGTGAACTCCAGCTTTGAACAGTCAAGATTTTTATTTTCTGAACACATTTATTCCCAGAAGAATGGCAGTTCACCAAGTTTTAATAATGCACTGGACAGTTTTAGCTGTTTCAACAATCACTATAGCTGTATTTCTCTGCTTGATGCAAAGCATTAGTTTGACCCTCTGAATCAGTAAAATCTTCTCTACAACTACGGGATACATCTGACATGAAATGACTTTTGTTTTGCACAGCGAGTGAGTTTACACCATTTCTTTTAACTGTGAATCATGCAAACTGTTTACCTGATGATCTCCACATACTCCCGGTCTTTGCCTTTGCTGTCTCTCCATTTGCGGTACATGACAGACGCGTCCACATTGGCAGGAGAAAAGGTGTTGGGTTCATTCAGCAGTGAGATCACACTCAGCAGAATGGTCCTGGAAGCAAACACAAAGGTGGCAGTCAGCGTGGCATCTACTGCAGGACACGAAC